TCTAACAACATGAAAAGGTGTACACCACTTCAAGCTTTTGAATAGTTTCAGCCTTTACTTTATCTAACAACATGAAAAGGTGTACACCACTTCAAGCTTTTGAATAGTTTCAACCTTTACTTTGTGTAACAATATGAAAAGGTGTACACCACAACAAACTTTTTAATAGTTTCAACCTTTACTTAATGTAACAACATGAAAAGGTGTACACCACTACAAGGTTTTGAATAGTTTCAACCTTTACTTTATGTAACAACATGAAAAGGTGTACACCACTACAAGGTTTTGAATAGTTTCGACCTTTACTTTATGTAACAATAATAAAAGGTCTACACCAATACAAGGTTTTGAATAGCTTCAGCCTTTACTTTATCTAAAAACATGAAAAGTTGTACACCACTACAAGGTTTTGAATAGTTTCAACCTTTACTTTATTTAACAACATGAGAAGGTGTACACCACTACAAGGTTTCAAGATGTTCAGTATTATGAAGAGAAGCTCAGTTGGTAATGAGATGTTTAACTTTGCTCTATCCCTTCACTGAGAATTTACAGAGCTGTTATAACTTACGATTTAACATTGAAAAAAAAGGAAGGATGCATTACCTTAATTGCTTAAGGCTATGGAAAAAGATGTCAGTATTAATTTTATATTTCTTGGTGAATTAAAATCCCTAGTTTAAATTATTACTAATTGAATTGTTTATATATTGTTTCTTAATACTTAGATTCAAATTTATTTAGCATACTGTAATGAGATACACTACCATAGTTTGAAGATAAGGTTTTGAACCAATAGTAATAGCAATTTGAAACACTTGTTTATCAGGTAGATGTAGTTTGTTACACTATAAGTAATTATCATCCACTAACATCCTTTAAAACTTAGATTAACCTTTGCAGAGTTGTTAATAATCATTATCATTAATGAGACTTTACACTGTAGAAAATAAAAAGATTAAATAAAGTATGTAACATATAACTTTCTATTGTAAAATTACTAATAATCAATCTATATAAGGATATAGTAGAAATGTTTGGATTTCAACTACCTTTACCATTGATGAAACAACATTAGGTAAAAAGAAATGAAACAGTTTAACTAACATGGACTTAATATCTGTTAATTGAAACTTTAATACTCAAGTTTTATAAAATCTTAATTGGTTTGTCCTTTAATTTTACAAACAAATAAAAAAAAAAGATTATCAAACTCATATTACTAAGGTAACTTTTAATTATATGTATCACTATATATCACTAAATGTTTTTTTACATACCTCATTCACTATATAATCCAACAACTCAAATATAGACATTGGTTTTGGTCCATCACCAAAAGGGGAACCAAAGCTACCTAAATAGTAAAATTTATATATTTTTAAAAATAAACATCTTATAACATAAATCTTTGATTTCTAAAGAGTGTACTTACTAAAAGCTTTATTGTATTCTGCAAAGAAATGGTGTACTTGAGGAATGTTTTAACTAACAGTTCGACTGAAGTAACTTTTAAAAATATTTACATTTTTAACATGAATATGCTTTTAAAAGCATTACTTCTAAAAACATTACACATAACACTTTATTACTTATGTTGTTTGTATGTTCTCTGAACATAATCTACATTTTCATTCACCAAAAAAGAAGACCATCAATTTATTTACATTTCTTTCGCATGAATAAATTCTGTACAGATTTGCAAGTCTCAACCTAAAGAATTCTGAGACAGATAAACATCCTTGAATTACAAGTTTATCTAAAGTTAAGCTATCTATCTTATGGCCAATTTCACCCACAGCAAAAGCTTAGACGTTAGGAGGGAGTCTTTTTGTAACAGCTGTATATAATTCTGTAAGGTGTACAAAGATAATATTTTTATAAGAAAGATACAAGAAGGTAAATGAGGGTTATCTGCACTATTATATTATGTCGAATTAAGTATATCATATTTTATTGTGACATTCTTTTCAAGAAAGTGGATAAATACAGAACATTGTTAGGCATGTGACTGTATTCTTCTGATTATGTAGGTTAGAAAAAAATAAAAGAAGAAACTTTCATATTTATCTAATGGGGCGGCAGTGAGAATCTTCACTTACTCGTTTCCTTGTGATTGTCCTCGAATTTTAGAAATGTGCAATACATCACTTACTTGTTTCCTTGTGATTGTCCTCAAATTGTAGAAATTTGCAATACATCACTTACTAGTTTCCTTGTGATTGTCCTCGAACTGTAGTATGTGCAATATACCACTTACTCGTTTCTTTGTGATTGTCCTCGAACTGTAGTATGTGAAATACATCACTTACTTGTTTCCTAGTGATTGTCCTCGAACTGTAGTACGTGCAATACATCACTTACTCGTGATGCTTATTGAACTATCATTAAAGAAGAATGTATCAATTCTATCCTTGAAAGTTCCTGGTAAACCAACTAACCTGGTCTGTTTTTTGGGCTTGGTGATGGAGACTGTCCCTCAGTTAAAGAATACTTGGATCCAAATATAGCTGCCAATTCTTTGGGATCAGGTGGAGGGATTGGATAGCGACCAATTGCCATCTCCACTAGTGAGAGTCCCAAACTCCAGATGTCTGATTGGACTGTGTACTGAGTTCCTTGTAATCTCTCAGGCTGTTAATAATAACATGAGTGTTATAATTTAGTAACACTATTGAATTATATACACACTTCCTGTCATTCATATTTTACAATGTTGAATATTCACACTATTCTAAATGTAAAGTAATACAGTAGTCCCTGGTGGATACCACCCCTCCCTTCCTTTTAAATACGAAATTTTTCTGTGCACAAAAATATTTTACATTGATCTGACTCCCCACAAATGACTTCTTGTTCAAGTCAAACTCCTTGGTAGATATACGTAGGTATTTTGAATTAAAAACTTGCAGGTCCTGAAAGGTAACCAGGGGCAATTAGAAAATGTTGCTTGTCTTCACCCCACTCTTGGAATTAAGGTTTATTCTTTTAGTGAATGTAGTTTATTTTGAGCTAGTGGCCTAGACATTAAGTAACTTGATTAGGGTTTACTAGTGGGTTGTGAAGATTATTAACTCACAGTTTGTTGAGTGACAGACACGACTAGAGCCTAGCAATAATTTAGTTCAATTATTTATTCTTATTTCTTTACTGGTTCTTTTAAATTGAAGGAATGGTCCCTTTTCAGAGCTGGGGTCAAAGGATCCAAGTTTCAAGGTGAAATTTTGGTTAAGAGTGAGGCTGTTTTGTTCAATTAAGATGCATAGCTTCCCGATGTTTGGTTCTTTGTTTAAAATTAGTGTTTTGTATAGTTAGACTGTGGATTTTTTGAGTTGCAATGGTGGTAAATATGGGATGTTTTTCCAATTTTCTACCGGTTTCTCTACTGTAGAATTCTGGATATTTATTTCACATTATTTTATAAACTGATACTAAAATCGTGTGCTGAAAACTAACAATGAAAAGCTTCTTGATATAATAACTGCCACAATCATGAACATTCAAAATGACTCTGTTAAATGTGCAAAACAAACAAAGATGGATGATTTTTTATGAAATAAATTGTTTCAGTTTGTAATATTTTATATGTATGTAATAAAAATATGATATGTAGATGTTTATGAAATAAATGTGAATGATGAATAAATTATTTTACATAAAACAAAAAAATTTAAGTTATCTTTACTGAACTGTTATCCTTCATAACTATTATTATACCAATTTGCTATTTTATCTGACTACCTATACAGTATATAAACCATTATGTTCAACCCCTGGGAATAGCAATCAGCACAGCTTGAACTTAGTCGTTCTTTATCTGGTTATTGATTCTTTGAATAGCGACTTCCTGTCAGATACGACTTTATCATGGCAGATAGGTCGGTTGTATCTATGAGGGACTGCTGTATTCCAAAGTCAGCTACTTTAAACACTGTACATTTGTTACTGTGTTAATTTTAATAAAGTTTTCTTTGTTACCATTCAACTTGTCCCTAAACTGTACAAGTTTACCCTAACTCTGATATCTTTTCAAAAAAGGATATTTCTGTAGCTTTCAAACAGATATAATTTAAGATAATGGAACTAAAAGGAATGTTTACAGAAACTAAAAAAATAACCCTTTTAACCTATATATATTCTACTCTTATATGGTGTCTAGTCCTTGCTCTATCCAATCACATTTAAGCTTTCTTTACAGCTGTTTTTAAACCACTTCATATTGTACAATAACAAACTTTCAACAAAGTCATGTACAAAAGTATGGGAAACATTTGAAAACTGAGAAATGGATAATGTGTTCTCAAGGGGTGATAAGTTCTTGGCAAAAATAGTTATTCTTTGGGATGGGCAGAAAAATCATTTAAAAACTCAGCATGTGGGTTGCTTTGTTTTCAGACAAAACTCTTTGATTCTGTGTAGATATGAAAATATGAACACTTTTTTTCCTTCACAAATTACACTAAAGAAATATCAGAAAATGGCAAAATATCAATTCTAAGAAATTTTAATTAAAATTTAAATATAGTTAGAATCAACATATAACATGGACTTTGAAATTTGTGTCTCAAAACATTTTTTTTGGTGAAAAAATATGAAAAGCTAGAGGATACCCTGTCTACAGATGCAATAATTCATAATTAATTTACTTTTTAATCCTAAATGTTGTACAAAAAAATGTATTGTATAAGCAAAGCATGAATTTTTTCCCGTTTGTTGATTGCGTCAGTTGTTGGCAAGCAGCCATTGAGTGAGGTAGTGTGTAGTGCTCTCGTCGGTTTTTCATTGCAAGGAAAATGACGGAACGACTGGAGCAGCACTACTGCATCAAATTTTGCCAGAAACTGGGCGACAGCCAGGTGGAAACCATTCGGAAAATTCAGACGGCTTTCGGTGACGATGCTATGGGCATCACACAGATTAAGGAGTGGTACAACCGGTTTAAAGACGGCCGCACAACGGTGGAGAGCGAGCCACACTCCGGTCGGCCATCAACATG